TGTGAACCAGTAACTTCATGGGGCTGTGTAGTGTGTTGTCTGTTTAATAAAACTGTTATTTGGACCCCTAAGTTCGGTTTTGCTTTACTATGGTTTGGCCCTGCTCCAATCTCTGCTCCTCGCCCCTCTAACTTCTGTCCTGAGCTCCTCTCTGCCTTCAAGCCCCATGTTTGTTTGCCACTGTCTTATCCCCACTGCCTTTTCCTTTCCCCTGAGCAACCAGGTTTCTGCCTCAGTTTCTTTCCTGGCTGTCTCCTCCTTGCTACCACTTATCTGCACAGATCCTGAGAGTTGGCCTGACTTCACAGGGCAACATGTGTGTATATAAAAGAAAAACCTAAGTCTTTCACATTCACAAAGCATAGACTTCAAGAACAATGCCAAAATCACAAGAGTTGGCAATACTGCACAGGAAGTCATCTATTCCAATCCCCTGCTCAAGGCAGGATCATCCTTATGCAACCTATCATTTACGAGTGTTTGTTCTTAAAACTACACGAACAATCCTGTCACATAACTACCAGACACATTTCCCTAAAATATCAAGAATACTCTCATCTCTGGAATACCACTTGCCTCATTTAACAGAAAGAAATGCTGAGCGGAAGTTAATGCTGAGAACATTATTAACTTCTGTCAGGATAGCTGCATTAAAACAGGGGTCTCTTCAACCCTTCTGACATCACTTTTCCCCTCCTCATACCCCCAGAATGAAGGGGGGAAATGTGGAATAAAAGCTCCCAAAGCAGTTAAAGAGTACAGCTGAGTGTCCATATCATGCTCCCTTTAGCTGCCTGTCCAACTCATTTATACACTAGGCTCTTTTTCTTAAAATTTCCCACCATTGCTAACATCCGAGCAGCTCTTTATTTTCTTATTTAGTCTTTATTCTGATAAGCCTCCATGAAGTCAATTGCAAGGTTACTTGTGTAAAGACAAATGATTTAATCACCTCCATGATTAAGGTGATTTACAAAACTGCTGTGAGGCGAAATACGCTTATAAGTAGTTGCTGTAAGAAGCCTTATTCTTTGTGGTATAGAAAATTTCCTCATCCTTTTTCTCAGAATTGGTTGAAAGAGCGGAAATTTCTCAATGTGAGATGTAATCTATTCAGCCTTCACAGGAAGTTACAAATGTCTTGAATAAACTCACAGTTACGTTGACACATTTTCCAGAACAGACAAGCTGCTGGGTAAAATTAACTCTGCTTCTAACCTGTTAGGAGCACAATTGTTTAAATTCACTGTTCACATCCACACATTTAATAACTAGCTGCTATTCAGTCATTGGACCTCAAGTGTTCACCAGCCTTGCTATTGGGCTACTCTGGTGCATAGTGTGGTCCCAGTACAACACTGGTGAGAAGATACAATGTGGGGTGGAGAGCTGCCTGCAACTATGTCATTGTGATTGCTTAACTGAATCCTGGTTTCTTTTATAAATCCATGCAGTTAAACATGCCATGGTACACTTGCATCGTTCTTTGTGCCTCTTTGTAGGCAGTGATCTCCCATGCGTAGGATATCTGAGAGATTTTATCTGCTTGTTGCCTGAAAGCCACACAGTAGTTGTGTTTAAATTTCCAACAATTTATTTGGTAGGACCCAGCATTCACACCACTGTATGACAAAGTGTGACCAAAAAAATAAGCACCTGGTACTATGGTATTAAACCAATTCAATGCACACAGACACCAAGCGGGTGTTCAAGAAAAATGTACTTGTCCTCTGTCACAAGGACATCTAAACCTAATAAGAATGCTCTTATTATGGGGGGGTGGGGAAGTGGCTAATGCCAGTTTAACTAAACCAGTACCGTCTTTGCCCATACATAGATTTATATCAAAATGCAGCAGAGAACAGACTTCATTAATTTGGTACCAACTTTATGAGGGATCCTATTGTGATTCAGGTATTGCTGAGAGGATTGTTAATGGAGGTTAAGTTGCAGTCTTATTATTAAGCTGGACCAGTAATTCTCAACCAGGCTGCTCTGGGATTCTCAACCTAGGATGCCCTGAGATCCTTTGAAGGGTGCTGCAAGGTGTGAAGATGTAAGCAGATAAGTGCTGGCTCAGGTTTATTCCTGCCTTGGCAGTCCCTTACCTCCACTGTCAGGCACCTCTGTAAGGAAGTGAGGACCATAATATATAAATACATTTTTGAAATTAGATTGCCACTCAATTCATAAGAGTTATGGAGGGGTGCCCCATGTCCAAAAAAGGTTGAGGACCACTGAGCTAGAAAAATACCATCTCGTTAAAATTGTAGGTGCTAGATCATAACCTCCAAGTCTAGAAGCTAAAAACAAAACAAAACAACCCTCCCTTCCTTTTATTTGTCAGTTGAGCTTATTTGAAATCTTTGAAATCCTATGATACACTTTCCCACAATAGCCTTTTAGAGCGGTTTCTTCCCAGAAGAACTATATACTCTGAAACCAACATGACTACCTCCACAGTGGCACAGCATTTACTGATGGCTGCACAAGCCCTTATTTTCACTTCCTCATAACTCCTACAGAAATTGTCTTTTGGGGCTGGAACTTTCCATGCACGGTCTCATCCAAATTTTCATTTGAAATTGTCAGTAATCTAGTGGAAACTATTTAATGTAAATATAAATGCCTTAAATTATGAAAATTGTGAGACTAATAGGTGACCAGGAAGTTGTTCCATTGATTTGATACACAGATCATGCATGATAAAAGAATGCTCAGTGGATTTGTCATCTACAATGTTACCATTAGAAAAGTACAGTCCTTCAGAGCTAATGTCCAGAAAAAAAATGAAATAATTGATAAGTGGCTCAATCACATACTTCTGTTTATTGTCAATAGAAGTACTTTATGAAGAAAACAAGAAATTAAATATTTATTCCAATATAAAATACATAGGGAATGAGAATTTACTGTCAGACAAGGGAGAATGATATATACTTATGCATTAGCTATTGGCATTTGTACATAACCAAATATATTTCTGCTAACAAATGCTAGACTAAGCACAAGAGGAAGGAGGTTCACAAAAACAAATGAAAAAACTCAATTGTGGATATCCATTTGGTGAAAAATAGCTCACTTTCTTTTCACAATGTTCAGAAAAGACATGAATTTCTAGGGAAGATAACAGCATGTAAGAAACTCAGTGTGCCATGTATTCCTGAAGGTTATTGAATATAGATGCCCTGATTTTGATTTCCCTTAAAGTTCTTTTGCACCATTATGACAATGTGTGAAGAGGTTTGAAAATGGCTGTAAATTACTTTTAAGCCTTTTGTGAGGCTCTTTAAGGCAGAGTTGTATGAAGCAACTTTAATGTAAATGAGAATCAGGCCCAATATTTTCAATTGCAGAATCAGTCTGTTCACCTTTCCATTATGATGATGTATTGATGAAAAGCATGTTTTGTACAATAGCAAACCAACACACATCAGAAAATAAAAAAGGATACGGTGTAATTATTATCAGGATTTAAAATAATAAATATGTATACTATGTACAATATTTTGGAAGGATCTGGAAGTGAACATAACCATAACTATGTGCCACTCACTAAAACCACTACCTGTTATTATAGAAAATGCATTTACTGTACATATATATATAAATCTATTTATAAATATATAGCAATTATTTCACTTTCTCTTCAGTCAATTGTTCAAGGGTTAATTAAGAAGTAAATCCTGGGGCACTGTTCTCACCATGCAAGATTTAGCTAGGCAATATCCAAACACTGAATATAGTCTAAAACACAGTATTTCATGTGGAAATCCTACGAGGGTGTTCACTGTCGAGGATATTTTGCAGACTACTGCTATGCTGCCACACTAACAAGTTAGCTTCACGTATCAGCTAGTCATATCTGCAAAGCTGCAGAAAAGCACACGGACAGAATCAGTTTGACTCGGTGATACTGATTGTCTGTACTAAGTTGGACAGGGTTTCTGGATCCAGCTCTTCTTTACCATTATCTGAATTTTCTGATGAGATGTAACAGCCAGAGTCTCTTGGACAGTCATTTAACTGTGACTTGTTAAAGCTCAGGTCAGGGCTTAAACTCAGGGGCACTTTCTCATTTTCATGCTCTTGTTCAGCTGTAGAAAAAAAAGAAGAAAAAGGATGTGTTATAAAAGTATCTCAAGCAAGGGTCTGATAACGATTGATCTTGAAGTACTGCAGACACTGAATGGGCAACACCACTGTGCTCTTAAGTATGTCCTCTGTATCTGTTAGAAGCTGAAATCTTAGAAATCAAAGCACCAAGAATTTTTACTACTAGATGATGTCAACAGCCCCTAAACTCCTGTTCAGCTTGACCTTGACCCTGCAAAGTGCAATATGTGGTTCACAAGTGGATACTTGAGCCCCTGCTGAACTAATTGCAGTTAACGGGACTGTGCACGGGTTCTGCTTGTTCACAATGTATTGAACCAGGGGTCTACAGCCTACAGCCCACAGGCCAGACGTGGCTTCTGAACTGAATGTATCCCACAGTTCAGGCAATCTGCATCACTCTACAGCCACAGCAGCAGAGGAGATGTCCCAAGGGTCCTAGTACCTACCAAATTCAACTTAGTTTCTCTGCTACAGCAGAGAAGGCCCCCCAGGATCCTAGCACCTGCCCTTTTCTCTCTATTCCTCTTGCAGCAGTCTCTGATCATCATGGGGTGTGGGAATGTAACTTGAGCTAGGTTGCAGGCAGCAGCCAACTGTGGGGAAAAGGTTGCCAAACCCTGCTTTGAACTATTGTGGTTCAATATAAGCCAGATTTTCTCCTCTCCCTCACTTTCAAAGCTCCTGTAAAGATTCAATCACTACCATGTAGCATTTTAGTTCACAAAGCAACCTCAGTCTTCTGTTTTATTTGTAATGTAATATATAATTGCTTCTGTAATTCTAGACAATAAACCTCATAGAGTAGGAACCTTATTTGCAGTACTTGGGTCCAGTACATGCCATCCAAATGCTTCATCTTCAAAAGTTCTAAAAAAAATGGCATAAAAAATGAAGTGGCTCGATGTGTGTGTGTGTGTGTGTGTGTGTGTGTGTGTGTGTGTGTGTGTGTGTGTGTGAGAGAGAGAGAGAGAGAGAGAGAGAGAGAGAGAGAGAGAGAGAGACAGAAGGCACAAAAAGGTAGCTGTAAAAAACTCAATGAAAGCTTTATGACTCCTGTCTTGCCTTCTGAAAATCTGGCCCAAATTAAATAGAAGTAACTTTCTCCTGCAAAACATTTACCCTTACTTAACATTGCTCTATTCTGAATAATCTGCTAGTGAATGGCAAAGGCGTGCAGCTTTAATGGGAAGAGTGTAAACTGATTTCTCAGCAAATCACCGCCTCAGGTCTCCCTGACTGTATATGTCTCTGTGCCAAGAATTTGATATACATCATAAATAAATATCTCATTAATAAGATTTCCTCTTTTTTGGCCAGAAATTACCTGCTGTTTATTCATAGCAAATTTCTTCATAATACACAAGATTTTCCACTCATTTCTAATCTTCCTTGAGGCATTCCTTTTGGTCACTTGTGACTTCAAATGTTGGTTGCTTTCCAGGAAGAAAGCAGGCCTCAGAGGAGAGAGACAGCTTCTCACCAAATATATACTCTCCATGGAAACTCAACCTTTATTTTTTTGTTAAAGAATGCACCTTTATTCCACTTAGATGGTTACTCTGGGGTAAAATAATTATCACTGAACCTTCACTGCTGACACACATGAGCACAATTTAAACTGACCCAAAACAATTAAGACGATCATCAGTGCAGAGAGAATGTGACACACATAGTAAAGCAGACTGAGGCAAGGGCAAATTAATCATGAGAATGATGGGTGAATTGTTATATGTAATTAACAAAGTTCCATTATTTCAATTAGTCCTATATTTGTTAATGGTGACAGCTTTACAGTGCAGATGCATACTGTCTACTGGAGGTGGAGTAGATTATGGGCACTCATAGACTGTCCTTACTTGGCATGCGTCTATCATCAGGCTGGAGGCTAGAGTGTATTTACAGTGTGTTTCACTGAGTTATGAGGACAGATTGTGGCTTAGAAGGCAAAATCCCTCCTGGAAAAGCCAGATGCATAAAGAAGATTCATAGATTCATATGGTTTAAGGTCAGGAGGGGCCAAAGGATTAACCTGTCTGAACTCCTGTCTATTACAGGCCAATAACTTTCACCCAGTTATACCTAAAATAAGCTAAATCACTTGTGTTTAACTAAAGTGTATTTTCAGCCATGATCTGAAGTTGATGCATTTCCCTTTGTACTTTGTTACAGTAATTTATCACTTTTGCTGTTAAAATATATGCCTAATTTCTCATCTGAGTTTGTCTAGCTTCAGCTTCCAGTGTTTGGTTTTTGTTATGCTTCTCTCTACTGAATTAAAAAACACTTTAGTATTGCATATTTTCTCCTTGTGAAGGTACTTGTAAATCAGTTCACTTCCCAATCTCCTTTTTTGATCAGCCCATGTGATGGAGTTCTTTAGGTCTCTCACTGAAAGGCATTTTCTCCAGCCCCTGAATCATTTTTTGTGGCTCTTTTCTGCCCCATCTCCAATTTTCCAATATCCTTGTTAAAATGTAGGTAGCATCCCATATTAATCTTGCAAATTCCACATACAGAAATGATACCACCTCCTTATGCCTAACTCATTACTCCCTGTCATAGTTTCTTCAACTACTCTATAATCATTTAGTCTGAACTCTTGTGTGCACATAGATCATTGAACATCACCTACTAATTTCTCCATCAAAAACATAACCTCTGTTGGAGGTATGACTTATCCTTTAGAAAGCTGTCTAGTCTGGATTTAAACAACTCAAGAGAGGGAGAATCCTCCATCTCCCACTATTAATGGATAATTATCCTCATTTAAACTGTGTACTTTTGGACACATTTAACTGGTACCTGTAACTCTTTCAGCTAGTCTGTCATAACAAATGTAACCTTTTTTGCTTGCTTGTTATCATATTGAGCCAAATTAATGACTAGCATAACTCCAGTTGTTCCAGTAGCATTACACTAGGACTTCTTTGTAGTAGCAGGCTGGATTGTTGTTGTTTGTGATATTAACTTTTTCATTAGTAATCTTGTAACCAGTTCTAGAAATAAACAAGTCTACTGGGTCACTGAGCACAGAATTCACTATGCTATGGTATGAACCCTTCTTGAGTTGCTGAATTCAGAAGGTCTTCTTATTCTTCAGCTGTAATCCCATGATCAGCTATAATGCAACTTGCTGATGCTTTTATCAGCTTCTGTAGAATCATCTGTCTATTCTGCCTTGTAGTGACCTAAACGTGTTAATCCTGTTTACATTCTCAAGGTCAAAGTGGAAGCTCTGTCTGTTTTCTCTTTTTCCTTCAAGTAGAAGGGAAGATACACTGATTTCTGGCTGCTTAGTGTGTGTGAGTGCTTCTGTGTGTGCACATATATATATATTTGTGCATGCACATACACATACACACCATTTTTACTTTTCTTCAGCTTTCTTTCCATTAGCTGTGTTTGTCTGTGTAAATTAACTTCCAGTGCACAAAGGAATCATGTGCTTTTTGTATTAATGGCTTCCACTTTAGTTGTCACAGTGACAGACACACACATTTGGACTTACATTTTTTAAAGATGAAAATATATGGCTGATTATTGTTGTTGTTAGCTTTTTATGTTTGTCTGCTGTTCATAGGCAACTTTATAAGCAAATTTTGTCCTTAATGACAAGCGAACAGTATATTGGAACACAGGCCCTCTGTAACTCAATCAATGAAATATCTTCTGACAAGTAAACTAAAAAGAAAGTTGTCAAAAAAAATAAAATGGAGCTCTGAACAGCTACATTGTTACTAGAGCTTGTCAAGGAATGCCAAATATTTTTCACATAAAATGTAGAGAAAAGTAAAATTTGGGAGGTTTTTTTGGCCTAAATTTTAGATTTTTTTGATGAAAATAAAAAGTCAACAGTTTTCTGTTCAAAAACAGAACATTTCAGAGTACAAATTTGCTTGTAAAAAGGCCAATTTTAGTATAAATATTTTGGACAGAATTTTTGTCACCTACCTATATCATGTAATGAATGCAAAAATAAGCTCAACAGGAAGGAACCTGAGCATTATAAATAGAAATAGATGCAGTGTACAACTCAAGTTGTTCAGCTTCACAAGGCGAAGATAGGCTTATTTTTATCTCTTGGCTTTTTTTACCTATTTCCTCTGAATTTCCTGGTCTAACACATACATGTTCAAGCTATCATTAAAGGTAAGTTTGTAGGCTTAATCTTGTTAGGATGTCAGAAGAACATACAATGCACAAGAAACAGAAATAGATAAAAATAAAGTACCGTTAAATGTTGCAGAATCATCAGACCTCAATATCTTATCAACAAATGGAAGTCATATTATTTTTCTACAGTAAAGCCGTTTCATAGGAGATAAATAGTTTTCAGTCAGTGTTGTCTAAGATATGGCCAGCAGAGTCTGAGATATGCATCGGTTTGACACGTATATTCTTGCACTACTTTAGACTGTGGGATGAGACTAAAAGTACTGAAAAAATATTAGGTTGTATGCCTTCGACAACAGATGTGTGATAAACCTGTACTGTTTCACTTTATACTTGGAAATTACTATTATTTATGTAGCTGCCTAGACATGCATGACACTTTACAGAATTGGTAAAAGGACAGGTCCCTCCAGAAAAATCTTAGTCTAAAGCTCTGACTCAGTCTAAAACCCTGATTCTACAACCTATGCTTAAGTCCATTCTTATTCAGAACATGCTTAAGTTTCACTGACTTCAGAAGAGCTGCAGCAATTTCAACCTGTTAGAGACCTAGTGGCTTTGTGAGTTTTGCAAAATTACAGAAGTCCACCAGGGTTGAAAGAGAATCTGCAACTAATAAATGTTAGTCATGACACTTCATGCACTAGAGGAGGAAGTCCAAATGCTATAGAGTGGTTCCCAACATTTTTTAACTCAGAACACCCTCACTGAACTTGAGGCACTCCTCCACAGCTTTTGTGAATTGAGTGACACCCAAGAATGCATTTATATATTACAGTAAGTATTTCCCTACGGAAGGGCAGGGCAAGCAGGGTGGGGAAGCAGCCAAGCAAGGATAAGCCTGAGCCTGTGTTTATCTGCTTATCTCCTCATACATTGCAACACTCTTCAAAGGATCTCATGGTACCCCAGGGTGCCACAACACCTGGATTGAATATCACTGCTATAGAGATACCTGCAGGAGAGTAGAAGAGAATGCTGGCAGACCTCACAGACCTGGGAAAAGCCCCACAGGGCAGATGACACTGCACCAGGGGCAAGATCTGGCCTACAAGTTGGGGGTTGAGTACTCCTGCCCTAAAACATTTGGACATAACAAATCATACTAGTACTGCACAAACTCAGAAAACCTTTCGTTTCAAATCTGGACACTTCTTGAGATCAATTGATTCCAAGTTTCAGGGGGGCTGCACTACTACATTACAAAAAAGTAGAAATGGTTCAAGCTCTGTGAGAATGACAAGCTTTGAACTGCAAGTATAATAGATGTCATCAGTACTGTCTCACACAGCTTAAAGAAAGAGCATTATGTTTACCTAGATGACTGTTGAACATGTATTTTAGTGTCCCTAAATGCAATTGCTGTGGCTGGTAAACAGATTACCTTGTAGCTGTGGGTAATTATGCTGCTCACTTAAGCAGGGCAAAAAATCAATTTTAATTAAGAAATCATTTGTGTTGGATTGAGTCATGTCCATTTAGGAAGAAAATATTGAGCTTGGAAAGTTCATTTCAGATGTTAGAATTCACTTATAACAATTGTGCCAACCTTTTTACACCCAGTTTTCCAATTGGATTTACTCAAGCACAAGGATGTCAACTGACATGACCAAGGTCACAGAGTGAGTCAGATTCTAATGCTTGAATTTACCCACAAAGTCATCTGGGCTCTCATTCTTTTTTTCTAGCCACTTGCCCAGTTGTCCTCTATGGAGGTTTATCAATTTAAGTCTTTAATATCTCTCTGCTTTAGAAGTATGATATCACTTATACATTACAGCTCTCTCCCATTAGTCAGATGACAAACATTATGGTGCAATGGCAATCAGGGAAGGTAAACTTGATCACCATTTTCCTGGGTCAGGAGATCACCTCTATTTAGGAAATCATTCAAGCATATGCTTAATTTTAAGCATACACAAGTCTTATTGAAGTAAATGGGACTTTGGCAGGTGCTTATAGTTAAGTGCATGTATAAGTGCTGTCCTGAATTCTAGTGTGAGCATTTACTATTCATAATTTTTGGGTACATTCTTAGATTGAATTCAAATACTATAAAATTGACACTATGTATCCAAAGCTGATGTGAAGAAAATATTCATCCCTTCCCTCCATCTAATAATGCAAACATCATCACAGGCTTTGAAACACGGGGCACTTTATAAGATTTATTGTTATTATTAACATAATTAACAACTTCAGCTGTATGTTAGGGGACAGATGTCCTCAGGAGCAGTATTTTGCCTGCATAACAATGACATATAACAGCAAAAAGCAGGGATCACATATGGATAATAAAAATTAATTAAATGTAAGGGACATGCAGAGATCTTGCCCAGTCATACCTTACATGATCGTTACACTTTTAGTGGCATGGGAACATGCTGAACATGCTAAAAATAAAAGGAACTTGAGACGGACACAATTTGGTGCCAAGTTCTTAAAAAGTTAAGAAAGTTAAACAGCCTGCAATACATTTACTGCTTTAGGATTATAAATAGTAAACCGTAAGTACACCATAACAAAATAGGTTTTCTTCACGACCACGCTGACCTGTGAAAAACCCTCATGCTTTGCTCTCATGCTCCATGCTGATACAAAACTCTTTGAAAAACCCCTCCACAACCCTAGCATTTTCTATTCCTGTTTTTTTCCTGGTTAAATATTGATGTTGTAAAATGCATACCATAAAACCAGAGTTCTAACCATCCAGTTCTGTACCCTGGGCAGTGGCAACACATGGTGTGGGGGCAGTGGTCAGCAGAAACAGGGCAAGCTAACCAGAGGTCCACTGCTGCAGAGGGAGATGTTGCCTCCTTTTCTGTTGCTTACACGTGGTGAGTTGTGACTTAAAAAAACATTTTTCGGCAAAAAAAGAAGAGGCACCATGGTTAATCCTCTCGGGCACCTCCCCACTGTAGCTCCCTGCTTCTGCCAGCTGCTGGCTCTGCACCATGTGCTGCTGATACCCAGGCAGTCAACCCTGTCACTGCTGCTCACCACTCCCTGCTGCGGGGACCAGAACCACTGCATGGGCAGGGTGGGAGTGTGACACCCCCCCAACTCCATTCTTCCCCTCACCTCCTCCTTAGGCAGCATCCATGGCTTGTGTCTTGCTTACACAACTCCTGTTAAGCTATTGTATACAACATACAGAATACAGCAGCCAGTTATCAAGCTATACACATGCACATGCTGGCGTGCACGCACAGACACACACACATGCACGAAGTCAGATTAAAGGCAGCTTGCCACACGTGAATACTACTTAGTCTCTTCCATAACCACTGGTTGGAGTTGTCAAGCAGTATAGCTGCCTCTCTGCCAGGCACACTCCTTCTTACTTCAGTCTTGCTTTGGTAGTCTCCTCAGACCCTCAACTGACAGACACCATTGAGTAGAAAGAAGTTCTGATCCTGATTTCCTTCCTTCATCTGGTCCATAGAGAGTAATGGTGTTTGCAGAAGAGGTCATTTGAACAACTCTTCTTGCCAGTTCTTGTGAAACCTCTTTCCTTTCCAGTAACTAACTGGGCAAGGAGAGACTGCAGGGGCAAAGGGAGTCAAGTACAGAATAAGAGCGAGGGTCCAGAAAGATCAAAAGAGGGTGTATGAAAGGGAGTGCTGGGAAACTAAAGGGAGAAAGCTGAGGGGAGCTAAGATAGCCATTGGGGTTCTCAGAAATTCAGAGAAGCAGGGTGAGAATACGAGTGCTTATCTAGGGTGAAATCCTGATTAACTGAACTTAATGTACAGCATATAGGTGTATGTGAAAGATTATGAGAGAGGGAGAGAGAGATTCACGCCTCTCTCCAGTCAAGTGACAGACTAGGGAGATGCAGATAAGCTATTAGTTTTGTTATGAGCTGTAAGAAATCCCCAAAACTTCTATGCATGGGTTTGCATTTTCAGGTCCCATTTTTGATTTCAGATAATCCCCAGTTCAGACTGGACACCTGATGAAATGACTGCTCAGTTAAGAGTTAACTGCAGTAATGACAAACAGACTCTGAAGGCAGGGTCAAGATGAAAGTACAAATGTGGGCATGTTTAGCCAAAGTTTACAGGAACTTGGTCTGAACTATTTTGGTTTAGAAATCAGGCTGGAGCTATCACAAGGACAGCATGTCTTATGATGTCTTGGCATTTCTACTTCAGGTGAAAGTGCCAAGCAATAGAAGAAGAAAAATGGCAAAATACATGCATGCACACAAACAACAATCAGCTCTCTGAATTTCAAACAACATTGAGGTTAGGTTCTTTGTGGGTTTAGCCTGCACAGGAGCTTTTATTTGGTCTGCAGATCAGCTTCTATTTTATCCAAACTGCTATTCGTTGACCCTTACTAGAAATGCCAGTAAATGTGGTGGATAGGGACTGAAAGAGGAGAAAAGATGTGTGAGGAGATGAAGTTGAAGTCTGTCTCTTCAGGGGCTGTATCTACATGAGATGCTGACTGCACAGTTGTTACTATGCATTTATTTAATACTTGCATACACAAGTACTAAATGACTGCGAAGTAATTGGAGTTACTGTAGCATCCCTGAGCAGCTTTTTGGTGGTGCTGACTGTACAGTAGCTCATTATTACTGTGCAGTAGCTTGTTACTGTTGGGCAGTAGCATCACATTGTGCTTCATGACACGCGACACTACTGGGTAATAGTAGCGTCTCATGTAGATGTGGCCAGGATCACCTTTCCAACAGTGAAAATACTTTATTGTACTAATAGGAAGTAGCTATATTTTCATCAGGACACTCTCTTGAAATTCAGAAGGTTCAATTTTCTGCTGTACCACAGCATTTTTCTATGACCTTGGGCAAGTCAGCCTCTGTGCCTGAGTTCCCATCTGTAAGAAGGGGATAATTGCATGTATCTACCTCTCAGGGCTGTCATAAGGATAAACACATTAAAGATTGAGAAATGTTCAGATACTACTGGAAGAAGGATTATTTGTATAATCAGGAGAGAAAAATAGATGTTTGAACAAAGAAGAAAAAATGAACCATGTATCAGAAAAAACTCTAGTCTATCTTCAGACATAACATCTTATCATTTTTGTTTGTTACTGTAACATGTAACTTATGTGTTTCTGCAAGTTAGACCTAACAATGAATGAAAGTTTAAACACTTACTTTCATAGTCTTGTAGACTTTCAGCTGCAGACAGTAGCTTGGCCCTGTCTTCTGGGTCTGTAATATTCAGCTCAATCAGATGGCTTTCTTGTAGATCCTTCAAGTCCTCCAAAGTCTCATAGCCATTTAGCAAGAGAGTTGATGTGTATTCCTACAAGTAGGAACCCAAACAAACAATTCAGTCCATGAACAAGAGAGGTTAGAGACATAACTACAGTTTTATCTCTTTCATTTTTTTTGGGCAAAGAAAAAAAGCAGTCAGGACCCCTGCAGCACCAGGAACCCCCAACCAACATTTTTTCTGAAGCATCTATAAAGACAGTTCTGTTCCCTTCCTAGTCATGTCTAAGCATCAGGCATCTTAAATTGTGGCACAGTCAAATAAATCTAACACTTTACAATCAGATTGGGGTTCACTTACCAAATAGCTATCCAATAGATAACAGTGGACCAGATCATGAGCTTGTATAATTCACTATTTCCTTTTTGACCTTGGTTTACATCAACTGAATACCTGGCCAAGTGCCTAGAACTCCCCTAACTTCGTGTTTTACTCTTGTTGGAAATGGAAGAGTTTAAAACTCCAGGGTTTTCTCTTTTCATCAGTGGACCACCAGGAACCACAGCAGTCAACCATAAAAGCACTCATTGCATAGTATATGCTATACATGTTAAGCCATTTAAAAGGTCATGGAATGAAATTAAGTTTATGGTATTCTTCATATTTTCTAATGTGCTATTTTGAAGTAACAGTTGGATTCTCTGGAAGGGATAAGTGATACAGAATTAAAACCACAATTCCTTAACAGATCAGGGAAGAAAATAAAAAATGTTCAGACCACTAAATGAGAATTTCCATTATTTGTTAGCAATGAATTTTATTCAAATCCCCCCGAATTTCAGTGACTGGCCCAACATTTACAATACGACAAACCCAAACTCCACATCCAGAGACCCCTCATAATTTAGAAGTGGGTAGATCTGAATCTGTCATTCATAGTTTGGGCCATGTTTCCAGTTGGTCCCTCATATTTTCTCTTCAGTCCGCAAGGCTAGGGACAGACATTACACATAAACCAGTTTAAGTGATCAGAATCTGATTTAAACCTGTAACAGAACAGATGTTCAGTGCACAGAAACCAGTTTGAAAATGGCTAAAACTGGTTTGAGATAAACCTGGTTGAATGTAGTATCAGACTTAACTGATTTGGCTCAAACCGGTTTATGGAATGTCTGTCCCAGACCTCTTACTGGTTTAAGTTAAATCAGACTCCCCCAGCATCCTGGCATGCTTTCTGGGCTGGGCAGGGCTCTCTGCTCCACAGCAGGGCTGGCCCCTGCCCTCTGCTCCCTGGCTGCCACTCTATACAGACTGCAAGCATCTGCCTGCTCCTCCCCCCTGCCCTCCCTGTCCCTTCTGCCTTACAGACACCTCAGCATTAGCTAGCAGACCACATGCTGGCTACAGTCTGTGCTGTGGCAGTACAAAGGGAGAATCAACAGGTAGCTGGTAATGTACCTTTGTTTTCTTAATGGGGTGATCAACACTGAGTTAGGGGTGATAAATACAGTTATCAGTTCCCTGCTGGGCTGCTGGGCAGACAACTCTTCCCTAATCAAAGCATCCTGCTGGGGTCTGGCCATGCCCCCTCAGCACTCTGGAGGGGAAGGGAGGGCTGCTTTAGCACCCCTGAGCTTCTAGCCTGAGCCACTGCAGGTATGTGCCTGCATTTCCTCAGTCCAGAGCAAATGTCTGTTCAGTTGGAAACCGGTTCAACCTAGCCAGGTTAGACTAACCTGCAAAAATTGAATCAATTCAGGGTCAGGCTTTTGAATGTCTAGCCCAACTGACTGAGTATGGAGTCAGGGGCTCTGGTTTTCTAGTGTTGGTTCAACTGATCTCTTACTCCGCAGTCCTGAGTTACCTTTTTATATTAGTGTCTATGTCCATTTTTAGAGCTTCTAAAGGTCTAAATTTTACCCATGAAGAGCTTCTAAAGGTCTAATTTTACACATGAAGGTCATGGGTAAAATTCAAGTCACACAAGGGATCAATTTGACCCAATAATATTTCCCTATCTAAACTGAAGTAGGGACAAGTGAGGATTAATTAGTGTTTGTAAATTGCTTTGAAATTGCAAAGTACTTCATAAATGCCATCATTATTGTTTCATATCTATGTTACAATATTTATTCCACTGCTAAAATAGACTAAGAAACAGCATTCAAATTTTATGTACTCAGAAAACAATTTGAGTCCAGCCAGAAAACATTTTCTAGTCATAAAGAAAATGAAGTACAGGTTTGCTATAAACCAAAAAGTAAATACACAATTGGCAGGTTCATCAAATGGCTTTTTTTTAATAGAGCACTTTTATCGGATGGGAAATTTAGTAGCAGACTGACAGTGTGCTAATTCAAAGAAACCTTCTGATGAGTAGCCGTTGTGTTAAAGTGAGACCATAGAGAGGACAGACTCTCAGCACATACTACAGAGGTGACATGAACAGACCCACAAGCAAGTTTTTTTTTTTTAATTTACTCTTCCACCTTTTTCAGTTGTGTTTGAAAAAAAATGACCCATGTTTTCTACTCTACGGATTTGCTTTGGTGTAGTGCCAGAGATGGAAAGGAAAGAAGCAAAAGTGGCTTTAAGCCATATTTGTGTCTGCTGGACCTGGGAGCGGATCTGTGTCAATTCAGGCTACTCTTGCTCTTTGTGCTGGGCTGCCACAGATGGCAGCTGGGGATTGCAAGAGATGACAAGCATGCCAGCTTTCCTATAGGAATGTCTTCTGCAGTGGTTCGTTACTGTAGGAACCGTAGTTTCTTCACGCATGGGATTCTCAAGTGGCCAAGCTTGTGTACGCAAGAGAAAGTAGGCACCCGAGAATGAATAAAAAGAGCCAGGTAGATGACTGCAGGACTAATGCACTGTCACTCCTGGTCCCTTCAACTGCAGTGAGTGGCTGCAGGACTAATGCAGCTGCAAGGTTCCTGGTCACTCCTGTCACTTTGGTATGTATGCTGCCCCAGTGTGAATGTGTTCATGCACAGACAAACATCAAAGCAATATCACAGTTGTCTTTATTGTTACAAACCCTACTAACATCTGGGGGGTTCGTGGGGTGTCATGCATCTATTTTTGAGTTTGTTTTACTAATCTGGCATGTGTAATGTCTATGTATTGGTAGTGTCAAGCTGTATTTTGCCTTATTGTCCTTATTTTATATGCATTGTGGTATTTGATATAAAACATACTTCTTACATGCCATAATAGAGTCAGGATTGTCCTATGAAAATAGGGTGACTATATGCTCTGTTTTAGCCAGGACAGTCCTGCATTTCAGAGGCTGGTTCTGGCCAACTCATAAGGAGAACTATAATGTGTGTCCCAGAAACACAGGGGCACAGGCCAAAGTCTGGCCAGGACTTGGAGTAGTGTGGCACCGCTGACTGCCCAACTCGTAGCTCCTCTTCCACTGGCTTGTGAGAGCACTGGGGAGTGTCCCAGATTTCTCGGATGATGATCTGATTTTCCAGGATTTCCATATGGTCCATCTATATGAAAATGACCTAAGTTTGGTGCAGAAGAGAAGCTCAGAGCCTAAACAGCTGCAAAACAGCAACTGCTGAAAATCAACATCTCATATGAGTTGTTTACTTTGAAGTGCTCTGAGGCATAGGAACCAGCCCCTTCCAGACAATGATGAATTTACATTTTAAAAGAAGGGGCCATAAGAATAACATCTGGCTACTCAAACCACTGAGGGAAGCACATTTCTCAGAGCAGGGAAACTAGCAGTGAGAGACAGTACTATGAGGATACTGCATTTAGCTTTCCTCGTGTTTGAAAGGATGCACATATTCTCCTGGTCTTAATGAGATCAGGAATGATTGCTTCTCTGGCAAATGTGCACCTTTGGGGGAGCATGCAGTGTGTGGGGGGGGGAGGGAGGGGGTACATGCACAGCATGGGCTCCCCAAGAGTTCAATGAAGGGGGAGAGATTTAAATGGCAAGATAAGAAACTATACTGAAGCTTTGCCTTTTTGCCTTGAGAGCAAGTTTCTATCTTCAGTTTTCCTGGACTTGGGGAAACAATGGAGTCCCTGGGCCAGGAAGCTGAATAAAAGACACTAACAAGGACTTGCAGGAGGCCCTGGAGGAGAGGTCAGAGGCAGAAGCTGTTTTTAAACCTGTTGAGCTCAATAGGAACTGAATTTCTACTGAACTGAATTTATGGGTTATTGTTGTTTGTTTATTCTTATATATTCCCATCTGTATCTCAACATATAGTTCCTGATACCTTGCATTTACTCTTGTTTGGGCCATAAATCCGTTCTCATCTTCTATAACCCACTTGTTGTCAGTGTTAACTGTGAAGCCAGAGCACTTGACTATGAGGCAGTCCTCTTTTTCTGGATGGGGGATCCATTTTTCCAAGTGCTTGACCGGACAAAGGTGCGATTCCTTTAGCTGGCAGAATCTCCTCTTCTAAGACATGTCAAGGCTTGGGTGAGACCAGTAGAGCTGAGGCACCATAGGTCAGGAAGCCGACCTTAGGAGCATCTCGGTCTGTTCTCAGTGGTCAAGCAGCAGATGGCAGGGACCGGTTTGGAGCTGAAGGGCATACCTAACTGCATCTTGGATTGGGGCATACCACTGTTATTTATAATTTAGCTCATGTAATACCTAGACTTCCAATCAAGACCTGGGTCCCCTGGGCCTAAACACAGTATCCACATATTATAACAAGACAATCCCTTCCCTAAGATCTGTACAAATTAAGAGAATTGCATGCTGACAATCACATACTTGGCAATGCAAGGAGCATTTCCTTCAACCACTTTTACATGGGTATTCATGGGTTAGGTAAATGTAAGGATGGAGAATTTTCTGAGCCACTGGTATTTTCTGGAACTAGTCATTGCGGCTCTAATTAAATTAAAAACAAATGTAAAAAACCCCAAAGCATTCCAAACAGAACTAGGAAAGCATCCGCTGACCTGCAGATGGATCCGCTCTAAGAGTTCCTGCAAGGTTTTAGGCTTTGCCCTTCTGCTTCTTCGGTGTGCCCTGATCTTCCTGGGAGCTGCTTCCTCTTCCATAATAATGTCCACATAAATGAATTTGAAATTGCCCACTTTGTTGTTCAGCATGCCAGTCCACATACCCATGGGGGTTTTGCAGATAATGTCGATAATGTCTCCTTTCTAGAGAAATAAAAAAGAAGATGGTGACCAAATGCAGTTGGTTTGTGACATGTGGCCGCTTTACCTTAATACAGCCAGAGCAGTGTCACTGCACAGAAGACACTGAGTGGTGGCAACTGAAATGCTCGTCAATATTTATTAATGTGAAGTAACTCTTCTTGTATAAGGAGGATATTTTTGGTTATTAGAAATCAAAATATTACAGAGCAATATATAGTAATATTGGCTCTTGCCCTACCCACCCCATGGAGTTTAGGGGGCATAAGCACATCCCTTTCTCCTTTGCACAGACATTGTACCCAGCAGGGCACAATATGATGGGTGGAGATCAGCCTCCATGAGGCTCCTTCCTTTAGTAGTGGTCAGGGAATGCTTGCAACTTTGGCAAGGGAGCATTCACAGGGTATTTTCTCACTGCAGAGCTAACCCAGGCTCTTTCCTGAATTTTAGTCCAAACATACTCCTCACATGGAAGAGTTTCTGATGGCTATCTGGAAGTACTTAAACTCATGCTAGCTAGCTGAACCGTGTAGGGGTGTGAGCTGTAGCCTGGGATCTGCTTTCATGTGGGCTGACAACAACCCACTTGGCAGGGAGGAAACATACTAAATTATTTGAGTACTGCTGGTCCTCCAAAGTGTTCCCATAATTCTCCCCAAGGGTGGATAAATTCTCTCAAAATTGACATAATAGTCCTGGAAAGTTTAAGAGAGGGTCTTAGCACAAAGAACTAACCATAAGTTGTGCCTCCAGACACACAGAAGTAAGTGCAAAAACAGCAAGTACACAGTGGGCACGTCTACACAAGACATTTACTGTGGAGCTGCTTAAATAGCTCTGCAGTAAAGGCTCTGCATCTATATGTGCATCCCTATTAGGTTACAGTAAACTAATAAACACTGCCATAGGTTAACAGTTGTAAAAAACAGTAGTATCCTGCAGTGGTGTTGTTTACTGCAGCAATACACATATATATGCTGATGGGGTTGGCTGGGGCATGAAGGCTTCCTGAAGCACCTGCATGCACTGGCCAGCCCCTCTGCAGCACACTGAGCTGGGTCAGAGCAGTCCCCAGCTGTGTGTTTCTGAAAATTGGAAATAAAAAGGTTTTCAAGAAAAGAACCATTATGTCACAAATACCAGATATGTCCATTCCAGAAAAAAATTTTGATGGTTGTCTCACCTTGATTTTTAGAGAATCAGTATCATAAGGACTTGGAGTGAAGTCGGTGTGTACTTTGGCTCTGCCACAGAATGGTCCACTATAAGGGACTTCATCATCAAGCCTAAAGCTGTCCCTGTTGCTGGTTCCATCTGAACAACTAGTGACTCCGCCTAGTAGAGAACAAATACTTAAATCTCCTTTGAATTACTAGGAATTGTTCAATTTCATATAGCATCAAAGAAGCTAACATGATAAGGCATAAAAACAGTGCATTGCATATAAATTTGACACATTCCAAGAGCAATATATTCATTCAATAACCAAACATACTATGAGACAATAAGAAAAATAAGCTAGATATCTTTAACATATTCTGTGTAGTAATCCTTTATAATGATGATGCTAATAGACCGCACATTTTGCTTATGGGCTTGTTGAAATATTACTTCTGTAGATTAATAAGTACTCGAAAACTGCAATTTAGAAAATGATTTCTGTTAAACTTGTTCTGTTTAAAAACAAATACTGTAGAAATGATTTTATTTCATTATAATACAAGCTAACACTTCAAGAGAACCTGCACTGCAGAGGAAAATTTTAATCTTATCAACATTTCTACCCGTCATTTCATCTAGGTTGAGCAATATAATACCAGCAGAGTAATTCAGGCAAATTTGAGCAAGCTCTGCAGTATCCCATCCAAATATGTTTTTTAGATAAGAGCAGCAGTTTGCAAATGGCTCCCATATACAATTTTCACAAATCATGTTGTAGAAAATGACCATAAAATGATTTGGTTCACATGGTGGTTTAAATGTACAGCTATGGCTCCAGGCTGGGTGAACCTACACTTTGGTGTCTGGTCAGGGATCACACGATGAGCAGAACAACATCACAATATCACATCCTTGGAGCCTTGAGAGATGATTGCTCACAGAATGGCAACAAACTGCCTTCTCCAGGCTTTCTAGTGCCCTGTCTGGCCCTGCCTGAGACTACCTGATTGGAGAATTTTGGGTGAGCCATAGAGGAGGTGCTCCCTTACTGTCTTTTTGTCTTGGCTGAAATCTTCCTTGTGTTCTGGAGAATCAGAGTCAGGTTGAGTTTTCCCTTAATTCCACTTTTACAAAGCCTGTCTGAGGACTGGGGAACAGACTCCTGGCCAGCCAGAGAAAGGGGAAGTCTGCGTGTGTGCGTGAATGCATGTGTGTGCATGTTGGGAGTGCATGGGCTTGTAACCTCAAAGGAACCAAAGTAACAGCTGATCTAAGGTCAGCTGCAAATTGTAATGCAACATGCACCAGTTGTATCATTAAATAGTATGCTGGGCCGTGTGTAGCCGAAATGACAGGCATGTATGTGTGCACGACACCTTAAAGTGGGCTAAATGCTTTTGTACCACTTTAATGGTGTTGGTGTTTGCACACCTCGGCGGCATATTGAGCATTAATTCCAGCCACTGTAGGAAATTTGGCGGTGTAATGTATCTTAAATTACTTGGGGTACAGCAAACTAAAATTCCTTCAAGGAGTTTTAATTTGCTGCCCCATCAGCTGTGGAGTGAAGCACTGGGCTCCATGCAGCTCAGGGG